ATGTAGGTACCTAAAAAAATATATCAAAGAAAACCATTATACCCTGATTTCTCATTTTCAATGGGTTCAGGGTATACAAATATTTGGCTTTAGTAAAATCTTCCACATAGTTGATATTTTCGCAAATTTAAAAAATTCTTTTTTCTTAGATATCCCTTCATCTTTATATTAGATATCCTTTAGAAAATCCAATTTTAAATATTTCAAATATATTTTAAATACATTTTAAGTATTATTGGTATATGTAGGTATATGCTAGTCGAGCACATCTGAATTTAGCTCCCTTACTTTCCAAGAGAACAAAAATTATTATACTTGCATATATTTAGCTCCCTTGTGACTCAACAATATCAGATATATTTCAAATTAAAAAGAATAAAGCTCTATAAACTAATATGTAATAAAAGATTTTAAATATTATTCAGTATAACATTTATTAGAATTTATTTTTCTATTATTAAATAAAAATAATATTGCCAAAAATAATATGAGCTCTTATTATTTTATATATACATCTCTTAAATTATATATCTATAAATTTTTATAAGCAAGTAAACGAATTATAATAAAAAATAAATGTATATGCCATATATTTTGAGCAATTTTGGGCCACTGTGCGCTTCCATAACGAAATCGAAACAAATTGCTGGCGAATAAAGCAAATCTAAATATTAATGTGCGACTCAATGAGTCGGAAACGGGTCGCATCGCATGGCACTCGCAGTCCGGGACTTTGGGTTTGGCTCTGGCTCTGGCTCAGGTTGGGTTTTTTTTTATATATAAATATATTTAATTTTGGGGTAGGCCTCGAGATAAGCCGCACGATTGCAGGTAGCAATCGTAGAGCGATTCCTCTTTCAATATTTGCTCAGCTCTGTTTCGCGTAAATCTTGCCGAAGCTTTCATGGGCAGCTGGTCAGTTAAAGAGGAGGAGGAGGAGCAGGATGACAGGGTCTGGGTCCTGGTACTTCAAATAATGGATGGCCCGGACCAAAACAGGGCAGACGTCGCTGTTAACTTTGCTCGACATAAATATTTTTATCACTTGCCTTTGCCGGCGCTTCGAGTTTGTTTGTTTCCGTATTTTTTTTTTTTTTTTCATTTTTTGTTTCTTGTCGGGAAGCGAATGGGAAAGGAATGAGAATGCGGATGGGAATGCGAATACGAGTGCGAGTGCGACTTTCCTAGGCAAGCTAAGCTGCCCTCTAGGCGCAATGGTTATGAGAAAAAAAAGAAAGTAAATTCATATTAAAGCCTTTAATCTCGCAATCAAATCGCAGCGACTTGTGCGTTAAATTAATTTTATGTTCTCCTTTTAGCAGTGAGAGCCGCTAGATTTCTATGCTAATCAAACGGCTACCGAGCGCCAGTTAAATGGAACGTTAACGAAAAACATCAACTGCAATAAATTTGCATGGATAATTGTTTTGCCCAGTCACCGAATCCTGCCCATAAAAGCTGCAAATATACAAAATTCTAGCTTGGCACACACACATTCGATTATATTAATTGCTTTGCTAATTAATGATTTCTAATCAGAGATAATTTTTAATTGTCTCTTAATCTTCACGAAGAAGACTTTTAGCAATTATCAAGATTTGTTTTATGCATGGTAAAAAGTTTGGGTCGAGGAAAGTTCTGTTGGTCTGGGTAAGGCAAAAACTCTAGGTAAAGTCAGTTTAAGAAATGATTAAGTGCGCAATAGTTGGGCATGCACGACTGGACAATACCTACCAATGTTTATAAACAGTACTTTTTTAAACTCGTATAAAATCTTAATAAAATTATATCAATTTCATAAAAATCGGAAAAAAAAAACAAAAAACAAAAAATTGCTGATTTTTGATACAGATGTTAATCGATTTTATGGAAGGGGATCGATAACGTTTAACGAATCCTTGGAACCCATCTAAACTGTTCTGATTCAATACTTTCGCTCTTCATGGTGTCGACTGAAGGCTTGAGAGGAATTTTAGACATAAAACAGCGGAAGTTAGTCTAAATCTGGAATGTGGACTATGGCCTCATGTAGCCTTCCACAGCTGCCTTTGCCTGGTAGACATACTATATATTTAAATTGATATATGTCTATAGATTTATTATATTTTGCACTAAATATATTGAGTTGGTCAAATCTGTGTGGCTCACGGCCAATGTCAATTGCCCAGGAGATTTCGGTACATAGGACCATAAATAAGCAGAGACTACGACGCTGACCTTTGACTGCGTTTGCCGTTATGGGGTTGACCCGCAATGTAATGTCAGCGAGCGTCGCCCTAACTTGACGTCGCACGCTGAGCATTTGTTTCCTTGATTAATTCTGGATGGAGAGGACGTCGTCGTCGTCGTCGTCGTCGGCCCACAAAAAGTTAATCGTTAGTAATTTATGACTCTCTGTGGAGGCGAGCGGCAGACAGTCAAATAGCCACGGATAAGGTGTATAGGGTGTGCATTGGGGGTGTTGCTGGCTGTCAGTCTTCCTCTGGCTCTCCCTCTCTCACATCGTCTTCCACTCTGCGCAAGGTGCGGACAATGCTGAGCCAAAAGCAGGAGAACACAAATAATTGGTTTGAACCAATGTGGACACAGCTCGCCGGCTGCTCAAAATCAAGATAATGATAATGATAATGATGATAATAATGATGATGATGATGATGATGATGATGACGACGAGAACGACGACAACACCGACGATGGCATAAATGACCCGCTGACTTTGACAACAAATATGCCAACGTAGCTGAGGGAGATCGTTGCACATTGCTACGATTCGATTGGAATCGATTCGATTGGTAAACGAACTGAATGCTGGAGGAGTTGGAGGAGCTGGAGAAGTTAGTGAAGTTGGAGGAGCTGGAGTGGCACGTCGAGGCATTCAAATGCGCCGTCCAAGTGTTGAATTAAGCACCAAAAATGCAAAGAGAAGAATGCCGATGACGTCGTCGAGCCCTGGCGACTGGCATTGGCAATCGGAGGCTATGGCCATTGGGCAATCGAATGCGCTCCATGGCAATGCATTGAATTGAGTTCATTGCGCTTCAGGAGTGGACCCGGCCGCACAATGGACGCAATTGAAAACGCCACTCGACGGGGCCAACAACAGAGCACACGAATGTCCCACCGAGGCGACAGTGAATGCCAGCTATAAAGAATTTTCAACTTTAACGTGTGTGCGTGTGTGTTTAGCTCAATCTACTTAGAGCAAAAATATATATATAGATTCTTGAACTTATACCTTTGACATTGTTTAAACAAACCCAATTGATTTTTTATTAAATATTTTTAGCAATTTTAATTACATTTTTCCTATATCACGAATTTTGTTCAATATTTGTTATCAATATTTATATTTCTCTTAATTTGTTTTTGAGTGCTGCCATCCAGAAAATATTTGTAAAAAAAATGCATAAATAGCAACTAATTGCATTTAATTGAATTTTGATATGTGTTCAAATGGAGAAATATTTTACATATTTTTACGCATTTTACGCATCATTCGACCAAATAAATACACAAATATCGTAGAATCATATTGACCCACTTAGCAGCTTATGCCCATTTCATATTCATAATATTTGTAACTATAACAAATGAAATATTTCATCAAATGCAGCTGCCAAATGAGTTGCTCGACTGATTGGAACAGCCATAATAAAAAATTGCTCTTTGAGTTTTGATATTTGCCTAGCCTAGTTGGGTTGAGGTTTGAGTTTGCTAAAAATAAATTTCAATTATGCAAGCTACAAAAATATTTATATAAATATTTAAAATGTAATTAGGTTTTAGCTCTGAGTTCTATCAGCATATATAAAAATTTTTAACTGAATATCATCGATTATAGAGTGAGTTTGCTGAAGCTGAAGAATGGTTGGAGTATTAGTTCTTCGAAGAATTCTCGTGTTTGAGCAGTCTAGACTGGCGCACTCTAACTTGTTTTTTTTTTTTTTTTTTTTTTCAATTTTGTATACATCCAGCTCCACTTTTTATATCAATGCCCCATTTTCCTTTTTTTATTTTCAGAAGCCTCATCCTTGTTTTATTTTTTCTTTACTAAGGCAAATTTAGTTTTAAATAATACGCGACAATGTGATCTGCGATAAAAACCAGAAATACTATATAAGCAAACTCCTATGGTGATAAGATTTTTATTATTTTTATTGAAATGAGCTATATAGAAGAGAGCTATTTAAAATAATTGTTTCTACACATTCAAAAAAATAAATAAATAAATAAAAAGTACAAAATTCTTATCACTATACGAACTTGCTTTGAAAAAATATAAACATCAAGATTTAGTCTTTAAGACTGTGAGTCTGAAGCAAAACTAAGCCGTAAAACTCATACGCACTGCCGCTGCTCCATAAAGCCTCCTACTTCTAACTAAAGTTAATATTTAATTAATGAAAATTAAATTGATTTGTATTTTTTTTTTTTTTTCATATATTGAGTCCCTTGCTTTCAAAACATTTTATTGTTATTTTATCAGATTAAAATGCATTGATTCATAATATTCAAATAAAGCCTAGGTTTTCAATGAAAAACGAAAAAGAGCTAGGCTTATATTTGACATAGATATTATATCATTATGATATATGTATAATATAATATACTACAATAACTCTACATATGAGAAATGTGTATAATGCTTAAGTCTGAGTTGTATAGTATATAGATTCAAGTATATATAGATTATATGGTCGAATTGTATATACACCTTGGGATATGCTTTTATTGATATTAGCAGCAGCATATTTTTTATGCAGCATTGGGGAATACGTAATATACATATATACTCGCATATGGATGTGTGTATATATGTCACGTAGCATATGGCAGAGTGAGGATATATTTGCTTTTATGGCAAGTAGTATAACGTTGCAAAAGCATTTTTTTTTTATGGAACTGTTGGGGAATCTTTTATATTTATCACTATATAGATATATGTACGTATATATGTATGTATGGGTATGTATGTCATTTAGATAGATAGCTTGACTCACTTTTGCATTCGTTGGCATCGTTGTCGGTAGCCCGTCCCCAGGGCCGATCGAAGTAGAAGGGTTTGCAGCGCTCGCACTCGGGTCCGGCGGTGTTGTGCTTGCAGGCGCAGGTCATGGCCAGCTTGGCGCTCAGCTGCAGGCCGGACGGAGTGCGTCCGAAGTGGCTGTGCAGGGACGTGGGAATATTGTCGTCGTCCTGGCCATCGTCAGCGTCGGCATGCAGGGCGCTGCTCGACCCAGTGCTGGTGGCAATGCATTCAGAGGCGTGGCCATTGCACTTGCAGCGACCGCCCACTGCGAAATCGGAGACGGCGTAATGCTGCGACACAGACAGCATCTGTTGCATGGCAACGGCAGCGGCACCAGCGACTCCTGCGGCGGCGGCAGCGGCATCCGATGTGCCCGACTGTGTGGATGTTGATGATTTAGCTGGAGGCGTGGTCTTGGCCGGTGCTGGGGGCAATGGCATCGGAGTGCTGACAGTCAATTTGCCCTGGAAGTGCTTCTCGTAGAGGCTGCTCTTGTGCTTGGACTGGCGCTTGCTCTCGCCATCGTTGGCATAGTCCAGATGCAGTTCGTCGTCGAGCTCGAGATGCTTTTTGGGCTCTTCGTACTCCTCCTGATCGTAGCCGGCACTGTCGTTGTCATGCAGATTGTAATCGTACTCATCCTGCTCATCCAGCTCATGGCCATCCAGCTCCTCCTCCTGGCTGGCGGTCATCTCGTCACTGAAGCTATTCGCATTGCCCTTGGCCCGTTCGCGGCTTAGCAGCAACTGCGGCGGCAGCTCCAGGCGATGGAAGACCACACGGATATCCGTAGCCGTTACCCAATCCTGTAGCACCAGCGACGAGTCCAAATCGTTGGCCGACGGACGGCCCTCCAGGGTGTTGAAGGCGAAACGCTGTGCGGCGCCACCGCTGGCTGCATCGTGTTGCGAGTTCATGCAGCGCGCCTCCTGCTCATTGAACTTGCTGATCTTGGCACGATCCGCCCGGCCGTAAAACTTCTGGCACTGCGAGCTGTAGAACTGGAAGGGCTGCCAGGTCTGGCCAAAGTCGGAGCTCTTGTAGATGGCCAAGGAATCGGGGCGCGGTGATTTGGGGCAGAACGAAAGCGAAATGTAGGTGAGCTCGTATTTCTTGCCCAGCGACAGGGTCAGGGTGACATTGTCCGGCGGCGCAGTGTCCGGATCGTGGGGCACATTGACGCTGCCCGAACGCCAGCAGGTCACGTTGCTCGGATTGTTGAGGTCTGTCAGGGCGGCGGGACCGTAGCGATGCTCCGACTTGTCGCATACGCGGCACTCGCCTGCGCTGCCATCGCGCTGCAGCTCACAGAAGCGCTCCGGCTGCTGGGCTCCACAGACGCTGGACGCCTGCACCGGATTGCCGTAGGCGGCGTTCACAAAGCTCGGCAGGCACTTGCGCGGCTTGCCCTCGAAGTAGCATGGATCGTTGGCGTTGATGCTGACGCCGGCGGCGGCATGGGCCAGGCAGGCGAGCAGCGCGGCCAATTGCAGCAGCAACATCATCTTAGGGTCTTTAGCTAAGCGAAATGCAGATTCCAATTCTCCCTCTCACCTTTGCTCACTTTATATATCTTTCTCTTTAGCTCTCTTGCTCACTCGTTCACTCTTCTTTGGCTGTTTCACACTCTTTGTGGCTGTAATCTTCTTGCAGTGTATGTGTCTCTGTCACTCGCGAGGATCAATGGGCGAACGGTGTAAGCACAAAACAAAAAAACAACAAAAACACGCAAAGACACGCAGCACGCGGCACGCGGACGCTGAGCGGCGGCGTCACTGAGTCTGGCACGGCGGCCGCATGCAACAGCTGCCGCTCCGATTTACGATTTCCGATTTCAATTTCGGTTTCTCTTGCCACTGTCTGCTGCTTGATTCCCACTCACTACTACACAAACACACTCCCTCTCTCTCTCTCTCTCTCTCTCTCTTTCTCTCTCACTATCTGTATCTCTTTCTGGCACTTGTTCAGCTATGGCTTTAGTAGCGCTCCTCTGCTGAGGGAAGAGACCGATGCGATTGCGATGCAACTCGGTCAACGGCCAGCGTTGTTCTGTTTTGTTCACGTCCTCGTCGCGTATCCTGCAGGCGAGGCGACAAACAGACGACAGCAAGCCAAATGATTTGTTGCTCGTGTTGAGTTTCTGCTGCTGCTGCTGCTGCTGCTGCTTCAGCTTCGCTTCGTTTCGTTATTTGGTCTCGGCCAATTTCACCACTGCATGTTGCGGAGGCTGCTGCGGCTGCTGCTGCTGGCCGCAAAATGTTGCTACACCAATAGCGAAACCAAAACAAAAAAAAAATACCAACAAAATTTATACGACACACATACGCGCGTGGGCTGAGCGCCAAAGCACGAGCACTGCCACTGCCACTGCCAAAACAACAACAGCAACAAAAACACGACAACAAATACACAGACAATAAACACGACTCGAATTCGTTCGCTCTTCGTTCGCCTTGCGTCGGCTTCGTTGTTCACCTGGCAAACGTTTGTCCGTTACTGAACGTTCGCAGCATCTCGGGCCGGTCGCTTGCCGGCTGCTGTTGCTGTTGCTGTTGCCGTTGCTGCTGCCGTTGCTGCTGTTGCTGTTGCTGCTGTTGATGTTGCTGCTCGCTATACTCTGTTCGTTGTGGGCCGCAACACGCGCGCTCTCTTCGTCACCCTCTCGCTCACACACTCTCTCTCTCCGGCTTAGTTTAATGTTGGCGTTGCTTTCATGCGCTGCACAGTGGTTTGGCAAGTTCTTATTGGAATTTCTGTTAATTGAGAAGATTTAATGCTTGTTGTATGGAAGTTTATAATTAATTAAGATAAACATAGGGATATTTTTGTTAATGAAAATATTTTTATTTATTAAAAATGTTTCTATTTATAAGGGTTTCTATTTATAAGTGAATACTACCATTTTAAGACAAGGCTGGTTTCAACAAAAATATGCGTCATTATCATATGAAAATATTTAAATAAATTAATATAAATAGTACAATTAAATTATTTAATACAATGAATATAAATAGTATAATTATTACGCAAATATGTATTCAAGCTCTATTAGTATTTAGATAAATATTAATATAAAACATACAAAATCTCCATGTTATAACATATAATCCTTGAATTAATATTTTTGTTTATATATTTATTTGCAAAATTATTATAAACAAATGTTTCTCAAAACTAAACACTAATAATTTTATATATATACTAATACTCAATTCCAAATAATTTTTTATTTATATGCAAATTCCAAATTCCTACTAATTTTTTTTAAAATATTTATATTAATATAAATATCTCTGTATATTTGTACATAAATGTATACAAACCTATTTAAAATTGGTTTTCCAACACATGCATAATTACAATATTTAATTCTTTATATAATAAGTGCGACTATTGATATATGAATATATGGGCACTTCTACGTAAATGTTTATTTTTTCTAGTGTGCGTAAGCCTTGGTCTTTGTGATTAACTTGAAAACGCACCAATTATAGTGCCAATCAAGAGGTATAAAAAAGAGCATTATTCAAAATAAAACAGTTTTTTTTTTTTTTTTTTTTTTGCAAATGCTTAGCACTAGATTTGACACAAGATAACAACAAACACAAACCAAACAGTACGCGCTCTGCAAAAAGTAGACTCTTCTGGAGTAATACCCATATACATTTTTCTGTACTTTGTCCATATACACAAATAAAGAGAAAATAATAAATAATAAAAGCCGTGATCTTGTAATAAAATACTTTAATATTCAATTTTTGCTGTACATTGTTAAAACATCATTATTATTTAGCAAATTGATTTGCTGCTTGCGTCTGTTCAACCACGGTGCGCCATGTGGATGTAGGTTTTGTGGATGCTGCTGCTGCTGCTGCTGCTTAGCAACATTTGTTGCCCAGGCACATGCTGCCAGCAACATTTATTGTTGCTTTGATTTTCGTTGGCAACTTGCCTAAATTTGAGCTCCAAGCAATTTGAATTAGTTGAGTGTGAGTGTGACACAGGAAATCTTTGGCTCATAAGTGAATGCAATTACATAGGAGTGTGTCTGTCTGTGTGTGTGTGTGTGTGTAGTTGCATGTATATATTGTTAGTCGATTTATGCGCTCGTCTTTGCCTTAACCTCAATTCGCGCAGCGCTTTCAAAACTTCCGCTGTCACGAATTCAATTCAATTCAATTCAATTTCGTTCACAATGCAAAACGCCGACAAATATGCCGCGTCAGACGCAGACGCCGCGACGCCGCGACGCCTGCGCAGCAGCAGCAGCAGCAGCAACAATTTTTGTATTACCTTCGTTAATGCCGCCAGCAAGCCAAAAGGCATGCTCCACTTGGAACTCGCCTGCCAGCTCCCTGACCCACACACACACACACACACACACACACACACACTTGCACACTGGCTGCCCTTTTTTATTTTCTTTGTTGCTCTTTGTCTCTGTAGTGTCATCTGCAATTTGTAAGGCCGCATTACGAAGTCCCTACCTGCCCTGCCCCGCCCTGCCCTCCCGCCGCCCACAGTTGACGCACCGCCTCGTACGCATTTATTTATCGCTTGTTACCTTTGGGGCGCAGACCCAAAAGCTGGGAACGTGCCCAAGCTGCGTCGGCCGTTGAGATGCTTCCGTTTCGCTGAGCGGCTGGAGAACGCACCAGCCGCTGCCACCCCTCGCCCACGCTCGCTCCCTCTTCCACTCCCTCTCCCACTTCTTTTTTTTTTGGCTGCCTTTTGATTTATTGTTTTTGACATTTTGTGTGCTTATTTCTCGGTTTCAGTTGCGTTTCAAGTGGTTCCCAACAATTCGACTCGTTATGTTTTATTTATAACGGATTTGTAGCTGCCTGCGTTTCGCTTTGTCTTGGCTTTTTGTTTATAAATATTTATACGCCCTGGCCATGGCCATGGCCATAACTGCGTGTGTGCACATGTGTGTCTGTGTGTGTAAGCTGGAAAAAGCAGTTAGCGGTAAACTCGGTGAAGCGACCAGCCACAGCTGTCAGGGCACATCAGCATCCTCCGGCCCAAATATGAGGCCCATTTGACCTGTGCCACTGACGGCTTGAGCTGGGTTCGCCATGGAATTTCTGCCGAATCCAGTTCATTTCTGGTTGGGCTATAGCTGAAGCTTTCAGTTTCAGTTTCACTCGCCGCGACTTTATCAGCTGGCCGAAATGGCTTGCCTTTGGCTTCCACTCTAACGTGCCACTTGCCACTTGCCAGTTGCCACTTGCAACGGGAGCGAGTCGTTGCCAAAACGTCTAATTATGACGCCAGCCAGGCAACGTCGATGCGGCCGCTGCAATTTGCTGCCACCCCAGCTGTGGGGCATTGTGGCGGTGGGCGTGGCTCTGCCACTTGACGGACTGATGATTGGGGCTTGTTGATATTCGCGGTCAAAGCCAACGCAGCGGCACCAGCTGCAAACTTAAGTGAAATTCACTATTTCTCTCTTGGGGGCGTGGTCGGCATTTTGAGCCATTTGAAATCTACAAAAAAAAAAAAAAAAAAAGTGTGCAGCTAACTGTACACTGGATACACCAGCCCCATTAAAAGTAATACGACGAACGCCTCTCAATGCGATTCTCATGGGCCAAACAAAACAATTTTGCGCTTAAGTAAGCCATAGAAAATTAAAGTGTGGCTAAACATGAAATGGATTAGAGTTGAAAAAATTGCATTCAAATTTGATTAAATACATGCAAAAACAAAAATTAAATAAATGTACACTAAAAAGACTATAAATAAAATTAAAATAAGATAAATAATTTATTTTTAAATGTTTAAATAAATGTAAAAAATAAAATAAAAATAACGCAAGTCACATTATTTTCAATCATTGAAAGAAATGTACACCAAATATATCAAATAAATGTACACAAAAAATAATAAGAATAAAACAATACATTTTTTTTGTAGAATCAATAAATTAAATGTACAAGAAAAAAATGTATCAAATAAATGTACACAAAAAATAATAAGAATAAAACAAATCAATTTATTGATTGAAATAAAAATAAAATAAGATCAAAATAAGAAATTTACTTATTTAAATAAATTAAAAAAAAAAAAAAAAAAAAAAAAAAAAATACATATACACAAAAAATAACTAATATAAAATTAAAATAAGGCAAATCAATTTATTTATTACTTATTTAAATAATAAATAAAATGAAATCAAAATAAGGCTAGTCAATTTTTTTTTGTTAAATTATTTAAATAAATGTACAAAGAAAAAGACAATAATAAATGTGCACAAGAAATTATTAAAATAAGCCATGTCAATTTATTTCTAATCACTTAAAAAATGTACAACAAATATATAAAATTAATGTACACAGAAAATAATAAAAATAAGACAAATAAATTTATTTTGAATCATTAAAGTAAGTGTACAAAAAAATATATAAGATAAACGCACACAAAAAATATTAAAAATTGTCATATTTTTCAATAATTTAAATAATAAGTAAAATGAAATAAAAATAAGACAAGTCAATTTATTTTTAATAATTTAAATAATAAATTAAATGAAATCCAAATAAGGCAACTTATTTTCAATTATTTAAATAAATGTACAAAAAAGATAATAGTAAATGTACATAAAAATAATTGAAATAATATAAAAATAAGATATGCATATATATTTTTGATTATTTCAATAAATGCTTAGAAATATATAAATAATTAATTAAGAATAAAATTAATGAATTAAAATAATACAGTAATTAAAATCTTGCTCCCACATTATGTATAGATTTCCCTATTCTATTTATTATATTTTCTTATCATATTCTATAATAATTATTTCTAAGTTTCCTTAACAATCTCTATTCTCTTAGTTTCCATAATTACACTGACCATACAAGCCTGTCGGATAGGCATATAAAATAGCCCTCCCAGAGCTTCCGGTCAGTGGTTATTATTGAAAAGCTTGTTTTCGTTGACTATATATTATTTATTTATTTTATAAAGTTAAATATAATTAAAAATTAAGATCTAACTTAATTTTAACAGCACTGGCTACTATGGCCTTCGGCTCTAACTTATCCTATGCATTTACATTTATATACATATTTACATTGTTTTGTTGGTTGGGAACTAAATGAGGTGGTATATATATATATATTTATTTATTTATTTTATTTTTTTAGTTTTAAATTATTTAAATACTAGCTGTAATTCCAACGGCCAATTTTTATCTATAAATGAAACTAACAAATTATCAATTTTTGGATTGCCACAATTAGCTTTTCTTATAATCTTTGCATTTTAATTTAAGTTAAGAGTTAAGTATAAAATGCACAGTGGAGCCTTCTAGAACAAAAAGATTAATTAGAGTTGATATAAACAAAGAGCAAAGAATTAAAAAAGTATGAGTTTTCTAGTCGAGACTGGTCTGCTGAACACCCTTCGAAGAGCTAATACTCCAAGCATTCTACGCTCCACAAAAAAAAAAAAATAAATAAATAAATAAAAATAAATAAATAAAAAAATAAA